CTTTTTGATGTCCTAATTTCCTATTTCACTAACTTTCTTGATCTTCTAAATCTCTTGTCAACCAGTCAATTTAAATTTATTAGATTTATGATGCTTTTCTTAAATTTTATGTTTTATACCCTTTGTGAGCTAAGTAGGTTTTTTTACTTGTAGCTACCCATTTCTTTCTATAAAGAATATGTTTACCTTTAATATTTAAAAATTTATCTTTAAAATATTTTACATCTGATCAGTGTCTCCAAATAACTCAGCTGCCCAATTCACAACAGATAATTCTTTTCGCATCCTTTCAAATTTTGCTTTTTTGAAATTTGTAACCAAAATATCATTATTCCTTATTAGCATATGTAGGAAAACATTTATAATAGGGTGTATCGTTTTACTTCATGTAAGGTCAATAACACATATTTATGTATCTGAAAATGTTTATTAGGCTTTTAATATTTAATTTTATGAATTATTTATTAATAAGTTTGTTACTTAAGACATGAATGTAGTGCCTTGTCCTTGTTAGTCAGCAATACACTGGTGTGATCTATAGTGTTTGAAATACATATATTTTACTTTTTGAACAGTTTCAGATTTATAAAAATGTAAAGTATGTTTCGTGTTATCTCTTCCTCCTCATGTAATTCTGTGCTATTGATTATGCTATGACCTCTGTATTTGTATTTCTCTAAGCTGTTGGAGTTAGCAATCAGAGAGAAACTACAATTGTATGGGACAAATACACTGGAGAGCCATTATATAATGCAATAGGTAAGTTGTTTTCCTTGTAGTCATTTGTTTAGGAGTGTTAATTGAGAAGTATATCATATTTGTTTCATTTTCTGCTGATTCTGTATATTTGTCATATTTCTGCTACCATTCTATTAAAAGCAAAGATGACTGTAAAACTGAAACTGTTGGGAGATAATGATACCCATGTTTAATATAATTAAAAAAATTGGAATTATGTTTATAGTTCAAGTTAGATAGATCTAGATTGTGTGATTATTAGTTTAGCTATAGAGAGCTTATAGTGGCAATTTTTAAAGTAGAATTATCACAGATTATATTGTAATAACAGAATAGAGAAGAATAATTTATATTGTCAAACTATGTTCTCAAGTAACTGAACCAGCTGTGGGGAATTTGACAAAAAAAAGAGACAATTTAAATAAAGCCCTGGATACAACTGTGATAACCAACAGTGTAATGAACATTTGTATATATGTTTGACATGTTTTAGTATATTACTTTAGAACAAGTATACTGTGTTGCTGTTTGTTTATTGTTGAAATTTATTGCCAACAAGTCACAGACACCTACTGTAAAGAACCCTGCCCATACATAAAAACCTGACAGTTAGAGAAAAAAATTGTTTTTCATAGAAATTGTATAGAAATGGTTCAAATTGAATTAACAATAAAAGAAAATGAAAGATAAGATTTTTTACTATAGAAACATGAAAATTAAAGTGATCAAATTTTAGATTGACATGAAAGAGATTTTTTTATTCTTTTATTAATACATATACAAACACATTAACTGGCAGAAAGTTTGTTGGCAGCCAGTGAAAATAATATTAATGTGAATACTATGCTATATTGGACCATAATAACCTCATGATTTTAAAGATGGAATGAAATCAGTTAGATGCATTGATGGAAGGTAGAAATTCCAGATTTAAGTTGTTTTTTACTGAGGATTTACTTGTCTCAATTTATCAGTAGGCAGCACTTGTATATTACAGTTGAGAGATTAATTCGATTGATCCATATAATTGATTACTTATGAGCATCAATTAGTGTTCTGTAAAATAATTGATTAATCAAAGTTATGATTAAATTAATAAAATAATTAAATGTAATTGATTAATGAGTCCAATGATTAGTGTATTAGTAAATTCCACTAATTGCTCAACTTTCATATGTGTGTTTGTGTTTTTAAAAAGTGTATAAACTAAAAATATTCAAAACCATTAGTTAGTCATAGAGAAGCACTTTGCTTGGTGCTACAGTATTTGCATATGTACTCTGAAGGTTAAACATTCACTAAAGTCAAGTGAAGTAGAAAGTTGTTTTTAAGAAGACCATCCTTTTATCTGATTGAAACAAATTGTGAATGAAAACAAACATTGAAGATAAAAACTTCAATAATTTTTATATGAATATAAAATATATGAAGGCTTGGAAAATTAAAAGTACATATGAAGTGAATGGGAATTACATATCTTATATCAGGAGGTAGTTGGGACATTGTCATAACTCAGGCAATGCTCCAACTATCACCAGCTATATGCCATGATTCGAACAATGCTCTGATTGTCTTCAGATATAGGCCATGATTCAGGCCATTTTCAACTGCCTCCAGCTATGTGCCATGACTTAAGCAATGTCCCAATTGTCTCCAGCTATGTGTCATGATTCAGGCACAAATCTAGAGATAAGTGGAATATTGCCTGAGTCACAACATGTAGGTGGAGATAGTTGGAACATTGCTTAAATCATAGGACATAGCTAGAGATAAATGGAACATTATCTGAATCACTGCACATAGCTGGAGACAGTTGGAACATTGCTTTTTATTCTGGCATGTAGTCAGAATATTGCCTTGATCTTGGAATATAGCAGGAGGCTTTTGAAACTTTACCTGGATCATGGCACATAGCAGAAAATTTGAGGTTGAATTGTATAGACATTACATAATTTGTTTGCAGTTGTGTAGATGCCTCACAGTTTTGTATTCTTTTTGTTTTTCAGTAAAATTGTGTCTTTCAAAATGCTTAATTTCTTTTGAAAGAGAAAGAAATAAAAATGCTGTTGAGTTTTATAACTACAAAAACATGGATGATGTTTGTACACTTTTGTTAGTTTGCTTTATTGTTTTTTCAACAAATAGTTTTTAAAATAATTTCTATGTCAGGTGAAGCTATAATTCCACTTACTGTATAAGATAGGTTATAGTCAGTAATTGTGTATTTTTTTACTTTATACATAATATATGTATTTGATAAAATTACTCATAAGTTTTAGAAGGCATTAATTTGTGTGTTTTTTTGCACAAACGGCATATATGAACTTTTACTTGTTACATTCTGATGATCATTTTTATGCAGTAGATTTTGAGACATTTAGATAACTTTGTATATTATTTTTACTTTCTCTACCACTGCCATGCCAAATATTATATGGAAGACAATAATAGTCACACGATTTGTTAGAAACAAAAGAAAGTTTGCTTGTATGCTTCATAAAATTCATTTTAGTTCAGTATCATTTCCTTATTGTTCATGACTAATTTTCTTTGCACATTGTTTCCAAGTTAAAAAGCTTTTATGCTTCCAAAATGAAACAAAATTAAAAAAGTTAACCAAGAATTAAAGAATTGTTTATCATAACTTTTGCCTAACTGTAAAATGCTTCAAACCCAAATGATAATGAATATTTAATTTTCACTGTAAAAAAGAGAACAAATCACTTCTATAAAAAATATCATCTAGAATATGCTCTGCAATCATGCTAGTTGTCTTGTAGGTAAATGCTTGTAGTTTTGTCTCTGTAATTACTAAAAGTAATAGTGTTAAGAAATGACGTATTCATATTATTGCATATATCAGAGACTGTTAACTACATGTAGCTTGAATACTCTATTGCCATTTCCTTTTTTTCTGTTCAGTATGGCTAGATAATAGAACAGAAGGAACTGTTGAAAGGCTGACAGCCAAAACACCTAATAAGAACAAAGAATATCTTAAGGTTAGTTTTAAAGTAAAATGCACAGTATATCCATGTTCATGTGGAATTAAAACTATGAGGATTATTTGTATTTACAAATATCAATGCAGTAAGATTATTTCAATAACCTTATCAGCTTTAATTGTGGCATTTGTATCTGTTATTTTTATGGCTTTACATCTAGTGTAGACTGAAAATAACAGAATGTTATCTACAGTAACAAGTAGAACACTTCTTTTAAACATGTATATTATGATAGCATCAAAATATTAAGTAAAAGCTATTAAATATTTGGTTCGTATTTGATTTTTGTAATTAAGCATCCTTATATATATATATATGACTAAGTGTAACATTACTAGTACAGTGCAAACATTTTTTGTCTTAAACAGTATTTTGGGTGTGTAGAATGCAATACACAGAATACAAGACTCTCTGCAATTATTTACATTTATTGGAAGTTGTTTGTCACTTACCTAGGATAAGTGTTTTTTTTAAATCAAACCAAGTAAATTACTAGTTGTCATAAAAAATTTGGTTTTAATTGTTTTATTATCATTGTGTTGAATATTGTCATCTGATACATTTTTTTTTAATCTAATAGCTTGAAATGATACAGAAGAGCACTTATATAACTAGAATCCTCTAGGTTCAGCAGTTGCTTAGGCTCATTTTGGGAGCATTTTTATTCATGCCATATACATACTTTACTTGATATACAGCAAGCAGTAGTTGAAAATACTTTCACAAAATGCTGGATTTTAAAATACAATTTCAGTTTTTAATTCATGTACATAAATTCACAGAAATGGCTAGGCTTTATCAGCGTGTAGGCTTTGGTATTTTTTGATATTCTGACATTATTTCTTGTGTAAGTTTCATTTAATTTTGGCAAGGTCATGATATGGAAATTAAGCAACATCACAGAACATGCTGTCATTCATTCTGAAGAGATTCTTTCAGCTAAAGATTCACTTAATACACAAGTGGAGTTTAAGCCAAACATTCTCGCCAAGGTAAAAGATAAAACACTTAAGACTAGTTTTTATTTTAATTAAATATTTTTGATGGAATCATAAAATTATAGGTAGCTTTCCAAGTTAAGCCTGTAGCATAAACTTTATTATGCTTTGCCCACATGATATTCAATTTTCGCAGAAAATCAAAATCAAATAGTACTTGTGGGAAAATAGTGGAATTGCTTAATGCTAGGAAAATCCAGAAAAAGACTTCTGCCGCATTGATATTTTTTATTCTTTAAATAATGTAAATTTGAACTTATCTTTCTGCTTGCTCTGAATGAAGAAGTATCTAAGATATGTCAAATTACTACAAATTTAAAGTAATAAACTTCACTGTTCCATAAAACACTTTATAATCCAAAACAAAACTACACATAGTTTGACAGTGTGTGTGTTTTAGTTCTGGTTTTGAAACACACTTTGATTAAAACAGATGTTTATTAATGAAACTGATATAGTGTAAAAGCTACTAATCAGCTACTAATATATAGCATTTATCATAAAAAGCCACAGCTTTGCCATATGCTACCACTAATTTTGAGGACTGTATGTAGTCTGTTAGGTTTTCTAGGTACAAGCAAATATGTTTTTTTGTGTAAGGTCACTGTTACATTTGTTCCATGTTACTGAACTGCTAAATATACATTATTCTTTTTTATGCACATGAAAGTGATTAAAATAAATTAGACTTGGAAAAACTACAAAACAAATCTTAAACAAATTACTTATTAACCATAATGTGTGTGAGTTACAAATTTCAATGTTGTTATTGTTTGGCAAGTACTAGATAATTTCATTTTAATGATTATTTTCTTTTCAAGGGAAAATGTGGCTTACCATTGTCAACCTATTTTAGTGCTGTTAAACTAAGATGGTTGTTTGAACATGTTCCTGAAGTGACACAAGCTGTTGAAGAGGAACGATGTTTGTTTGGGACAGTGGACTCTTGGATAATTTGGGCATGTTTTGTTCTCCTATGCACAATTAGATATTCTTGATTGCCATTTTAATCAAAATGTTGTTTAATAATTATATCAACTGAATATAATATAATGAACCAATATATGAAATTATTTCTTATATTTGGAAAGTAAGTTTAATTTTTGATTTTGTTTTTTCAAAGTTCAGAATTAATTCTTCAAATCCTTTTCACACTTCAGCTAGTAAGTTTATTAGCAGTTTCTTTTTATCACATAAAAAATAAAGTTTAATTGTACTAAAATGAAATTTCCCGGTGGTTGCTGTGAAAATGTTTAGGGAATATTGATTATATTCTATGCAGAACTTGACAGGTGGAAAAAATGGAGGTATTCATGTAACTGATGTGACCAATGCAAGTCGTACTATGCTCATGAATATTGAGAACCTTTCATGGGATCCTGAGCTCTGCAGGTATGATAAAGAATCCTGTTCTGTAGTTTAAATGAATCATTATATCAGAAATGCATATTTGTGCATGAAATTGTCCTGGGAATCCCACAGTAACAACAATAGAAACTGGTTTTCTGTATCTAACTCAGAAAATATTATCTTAGTTAGGATGTACATATTGTATTTTATGTAATAAATGTACATTATCATTGTTTTATGGTATAATGTACATAATGTAAGTATACTCATATATACTTAAAACTCGTCATCGAATACGTTAAATTTGTTTATTGTCAGATATACAGAATATGATATTTATATTTACTATGTTTTACCAGGTTAACCTGGCATCTTCAGGGACAACAACATATTCATATATAGTTTTTAAAGTTGAATGTGTAATTGTATAAATTATTCAGTTTGAAGGTTATTGTTGCTTGTGGTTAATATGTTTGTTCACAGGTTCTTGTTTGGATACTAACCGGTGCTTTTCTGTGGTGAAAATTATAGACATATTTATATGATTACACCACAGGCTTTTATCTGGATATTAAACAGTACTTTTCTGTGGTAAAACTTATTGCCTGTGATTTACTGTTTATGTCAAAGGTTCTTGTCTGAATACTAACCAGTAGTTTTCAGTGATAAATATTGGTAATGGTTTGTATAATTATCACAGGGTTTTATCGGATGCTACCCAGAATTTGGCATTTGATGACCATTAGTGTTATAAGAGTTTTAATTAAATTGGGACATTTTGTATTTTATGTTTTCATAATGTTGCCTGTTGAAAATGAATACACCCTTTATATGTAAAGTACTATTTTAAGCTTTGATAGAGAAACTGCAATGAAAAAATAATTATGATATTATAGTATGACATAGTAGATAGTAAGGTACAGAGAAGTATCTGTGTGCTTCATTGACATGCTTTCTTATTTCTATTTAGAGTAACATTGCTCTCCAAGGATTTTTCACATTATCAAATAATCTCAATTTGTAAAGTTTTAAAAGTTAACCTAGTCGGATGATATGTTCAAAGTTTTAAATGAAATATTGACAGTTTTAGTATTAATAGTTTCTTACAGATCCCTGCTAGCATATTGCCTGAAATTCGCAGTTCTTCAGAAATTTATGGGACTATAGCTGTAGGGTCGTTGGAAGGAGTTCCAATATCAGGGGTAAATGAAAAAAACATCAAACAAATTGTGTGTTTTAAGAAAAATTATCACATAATATTAAATGAGCATTTTTTTTGTTACAATTTTTTGGCATCAACCTATTACTCGTACCTTGAGCAGTAACATGTTTTGAGAAACAAACAAAAGAAATAAAAGAGTAAAATTAATCTGGATAATAACTTAATACATTTTAATGGTGTAAGTTATTGCCTATGGCTTGTATATTTTTGTCATAAATTTTCATCTCCCCATTGGCTGGCTTATCTTGTCAATATAATACCCTGAAATCACTTATTGTGTAGTAGCTTTAAAGAAAAAACAAAAGGAAAGAAATTGTTAAATTTTGTACTTTAGATGGCTCTGTTCCCCAACACTGTTGGAGAGGCATTGCACCATATACATTTTGCTTTACGGTATAAAACGTTTTTGTCTATGTCAGTTTTGAAAAGTCACTGCATGTTTTGTACTATCATGTAAAAGCTATAATGTATAAAAATATTGATTCATATTTGATTTTTTTCATTTTAAAGGATTTAAGAATATATTTTAGATTTTGTGGTAACATATATATATATATATATATATATATCTTTGTAGAAAAATAATGTTTCATATCAGTGGAGAAACTTGACCAATGAGCAGGGTAGTTTAGTGACACAGTTGCTTTAAGATGCAAATCATACTGCTTGTTGTTGATTTTAACTGTTATACAGCTTAAGACACTTTTAAAAAACAAAATTAAAATGTGCAAGTAAATATAGATTGTTAATTTGAGTAACTGTTAACTTTTCACATGGAAAGGTGTTTATTTTTCCATAGTCAACTGTCATTTGGTATTAGTAAACTGCTACTACTGTATGTTAATACCATTATATGATACATTAAAGTAGGTTGATTGTGTAATATTTTCTGACTTCTGCTCACATTTTGGAAAACAAATTAACAGTATAGTTATGATTTGTTTTTATTAATGATCAGTGGTCATACAAGCTTTTCAAGATTGTGTTTTTTAAAGATATGTATTATGAATATCTGCATTTTCAATCATAATACCTACTTTTTTACATATTATATCAAAATAGCAATTTTATGAAATAACATTATTTTGGAGTAACTAAGTTATCACACAAAAGAACTGTAATGCATCATATATAGTGCCTGCTACCTAACACCAAGTACCAGAGCAGTGATTTATGGGTTACTAGATATCTCTAAAGCTATAAGTTAAGCTCATAAGTTGTCGAACATTTAGAAACAATGAAAAATTTATTCACTTATAAATCACCTATTACAACAATACTGTGGACACTTTTCCAGACTTGATATTTCAGAAAGTGCAGTATTGTTTTAAATCTTCAATTTAGCATGTGTAGAACAATGTTGGAGCCTTGAGTGTTGTATATATAACTAAACATTTACTCAAATGTATTGTAACCAATTGAGGGAAATGAATAATCATTTTACTTATTAAGCAAACACGTATTTAGTCAATGTAAAAAACTATTATTTTGGATATCCTTCAAGAGGACTAAATTTAAAATCAAACAACATAAAAGTTAGATAACATCAGTTTATTTTGGAAAATGAAACTTTTGATATTTATATCTTTATCATACAAAGCTAAAAACCAATAGGGGAATGAATAAGAAGAAAGCTAGAGACTGTTTTTTTATGACAACATTACTAAAGCTATCTGCCACCTTCCCTAATTTTGATTTGCCGATCAAAGGGAAGATAATTGGCTGGCAGCATTCACTGTCAACTCTTGGGCTACTCTTTACCAGTTAATGGTAAGATTGATTGTCACATTATAATGCCCCTACAGCTAAAAGGGTGAACATGTTCTGCATCTGATTTTAGTTCTGTAACCTACAGATTACAAGTGGAATGCCCTAACCATCAATATATATACGCCAAGCCAGATCTAGAACACCTATTCAGATAATATAGTATTACTGTGTCAACAATACTTTTTTAGCTTTTCTATCCTAGCTGTAATGTATTATTTTTGCAATAATGTTACAATACACATTAATTTTTTAAAAGGTAGCTGTATAACATTGTAACCAAGTTTTCAGTATTTTATACATGAGAAAAGAGAAGCTTCCACTTTGATAATCTGGTATTTTTGATTAATCATTGTCAACCATATATTCCTAAAGTAACCTAAATAAAAGTCAAACAAAGTTGAAATAACAATAATGTATTCAGTAATATAAAATTTGAAATGGAGTATGGAATAACTAATAAAAAAAACAAAGTCAAGTGAGATAATATTAGTTTTATTGTGATGACAACACCTTTTAAGCTCATATTTTGGGCTCAAGCGATCTCTGTTTGCTAACTTGCTCATTGTTGGCGAACTTCCATGACTATTGGATATACACATCTTGGGCTTTTTATGAAGAGGGTGCTTGGAATGGTGGAACATTTTTCATGTAGCATTGCATAAAAACATTGTAATTTAAACCAATGTGTCTTGTTACATCTACATTTGCAGTACACAATGCTGTTATTTCTTTTGGAATATTTTAATTTCCTTTGTATATAATGCAGAATTATTGTAAATATATCTTCTAATGATTATGTGATAGTGTTATAATTTATGAAACTATAAATTATAACCCTTTATTTATGAAACTATCTCGTATTCTTTTGAAAGGACTAGGCATGGCCTAGTGGTTAAAATGCCAAGACTGTGATTCTTAGATTCATTATTTCCATTCCAATGTTGCAAAGATGCATTCTATACTGTGTTGTCATGGGTGTTCAGTAAAATTGATGGTAAAATCCCAATAATTAATCAGATAAGAGTAGCCAAAGTGTGGGCTATGGGTGCTGTTGAATAACTGTCTTGTCTGTAATCTAATGGCTTAAAACTTATGTAGCTTTGCACAAAAATTATAATAAATAAGCTTTGTACATATTGCAACACGCCCACATTAAAATAATTCAGTGTGATACCTAAACATTTCAAAAGCACAAGAAAAACTTTCTAGAAAGAATCTCTGAAGCATAAATATAATTTAAGTGAATTGGGAAAGTGTATTGAAAGTTGCCTTTCCATTAATAGACACTAAGAACTAGAAAAACAAACAGAAAGAAGTTGACTTTTAATTATACATATTGGCCACTTTTATTCCATGTTACGATTCCTTTCTTGCTTTTTAGTTGTTCACGCATTTGAAGAATTTTGACATATATTTTGTTCTATAGGCTCTTGGGGATCAGAGTGCTGCCATGGTTGGCCAGATGTGTTTTGATTTTGGAAAAGCTAAAAACACGTAAGACATAAACTTATAAATATAAAATTGTTTTTTTTTTCTTTTAACTTGATTGAGAACTTTCTTTTACAGATGATTTAAGCACTATGAAAAATGCAATACAATTCTAGGCAAGTTAGGAATACCAGTAATTTTCTAAAAATTTGATTAATTAAACATGTTGCTTAATTTATAGTAAATTAAGCTTGGATCTTAGTTAATGGTGCTTTTGAAATTTGTTTGCCTGGTAGTGAACTTTTTCTAATGTATATTTGTACATATATATTTCCTTCTTTATTTCTGTGGTACAAATATGATTATTTTCACTCCTGGAAGAGTTAAAATTACTGGGTATTTTTTATAATTTGGAGTTTATTGTAAAGTGTACCTTTTATTTTTGTTTCAGTTATGGTACAGGGAGTTTTCTTCTTTACAACACAGGAAAACAGGTATTTAATAGTTTATTTGATTTGATATTGCTTTTTTACCAAGTTTATTTTTGAAAAATGTAGATTTCACAGTAGAAAAGTATACCAAAAGATTAACTCATTATTGCTATGTTTTAAAAAATTACTTACACAATTCTACATCTTATAAAATACTTATTATACTTAGCTTTTGTATTAATTTTCCATGTGTCTCAAGGTCTTTTTTGCGATCAAGGTTGAAGGGTTGCTTAGCAACATAATGCATGCCACAACTTCAATGATTGCCTACATTAAGTCTTTCAATGTTTCATAAGTTTAAACATTGAAATGGTCTGGCCAGTTTTTGTTCATTTGTTTATATATTTTAGAAGTAATATACTACCTTTGATTATTAAATGGTAATAATTCATGTATATTAACTCCTAAGGTTCCTGATATTTTAGTTATTGTAGGTTTCAAAATATGTAGCCTTGTATACTAACTGACATCGTGTTTTGTTACACTGTAAACATAGTTTCTTCTAAAATTCTGTAGTAATTTGTTTGAACAAGTTATGTCTGTGTTAACAACATTTTTTAAAGCTGTTTTAGATCCTTTACAAATTGTTTAAGGTGTAATATGTTTTTGAATAAATAATTTTGTATTATAAAATGAATTATTCTTGCCATTTTTTGAATTATGACAAAAGCCAAATGTGTCATTATACTACAGAATAATGTTTGCTGTTGCAGATAGTTTGGTCACAACATGGCCTGTTAACAACCGTTGCTTACAAACTAGGGCCAAATAAACCCACATATTATGCTCTAGAGGTAAGTGTTGTTACTTTAAGTATTTGAAACGTAATGTATGTGTGTGAGTATATATTATATATACATTTAAGGTTGAGTCCTTTTAACCTGAAAATTACTGACTTGTTTTATACTGTATGCTACTGGTGAGGTCTTTGTATTGAATCATATTGATGAAAACAAATTGAGTAAAATCATTCTTTTTCTATGTGAACTACATAGGAACTTGAGCAGAAATTAATGCTATTAATTGTAATGTTGATGGTATTTTTTTAATTTTATGTGACTTGTTATAAGGGATCCTGTAACCCACAAAGTATTGGATCAGTTAACAAGTTGGTGCATAAATGGTTCAAAAAAATGTTTTTTTAAAAGCTTTAATTAAAGGAATAATGTAAATAAGAAACTTGTTTCTTTGGTTGAATTTTATTAGTTGCAGTTTTTTAATTTAACCATTATTACAGAATTAAAATTATTATTTTTGTACATTTTCTCTTTATATTTATATAAACATGGAGAAGTTGACAAACGAATAATTTTGTTACAAAACAAAACTGATAATGATTGCACAATTTTTTCTTTTTCTCATCTTTAAAGTTTTAGCTCGGTACATGGAGAAGTTACTTACTACTTTGCTTACTTTTTTAAACAATCAACAGCAGTTTGTGCTTTCTCGTAATAATTATTTAACACATTAAAATATAGTTAAGTATTCATAATTCAATTTGTATTAGATATTAAACCTTTTCCTCCCTGTTATTGTAGTATTATGTCAAAGAAGACTTTCAAGCATAATCTATATACCTTTCATTTGATATGGAATTTCTTAAATTTGTTGCTTGATTAGTGAACCTCAGTTTCAGGCACATATAAATATGTACATAATGTAATGATTTTCTATAAACTTAACTTTTTTGTATAGATCTTTTATAAGTATTTATAAATGACTAAAATTAGAACTACTTTTTATAATTTATTCATTTTTTCACTATATTTTTGAGCATGGTCAGATGAGAGTCATAATAATAGTTACTGAATGTTGACTGGTGTAAAAGAAGTAAGGTATTAAAAAGTTCAGATATGACTTATTCTAATGATTCAGTAAAATAAACATTTTCATCTAGTTCCTGGTTTTTCTTAGTGTAAAATAAGATGAAACAAATCTATTTTTTTTTTTCAAACAACTCCTATGAGATATAAGTGACAACTTTGATTTGTTAAATGATATGGATGTGTATAATAATATCTTCAAAACATGGCTTAGTGTCATTAGGTGGAGCTCAATATTATTTTTAAAAGAAATTTTGCTTTATTACTCAAAAGAACTTTGTAATACACACAAACATAATTTATAGTTAACTACTATATGTAGGGTTTTTTTTGTAAACTTCACATAAGCAAAAAGAAAATTTATGCAAGCTGCTTAACGAACAATAACAAGAAAATTTCTTGGATGTCTTGAATTACTTCAAAGGATTTTCTTGTTCAGAACTATATACTAAGTAGATCTTAGTAGTCTCACCTCATATAATACAGATTAACTTATTATTCATTGTAGCATACATCACAGTAATTTTCATTATATGTTTTTTAATTAATTTTCTATTATGTTGCACCTGAAATCTCAAAGGTTTAATTAGTATTTTTACTCTGAGGTAACAAGTTATTCAGAAGTGATTGAAAAGCAGGTTGATGCTTGGACTCTGTAACACTGATGCACATTAGTGTTCCCAGAGCAATGTTCTGCCAAGCAAGCGACTGTTCATGTCGATTTCTATATAGTTTGTTTAACAATATGCCCATTAATTTTAGTTAAAAGATATTTTGTGACCTGTGATATTTTTTTTTACCAGGGCTCTGTTGCTGTCGCAGGAGCATGTGTAACATGGCTTCATAACAACTTGGGAATTTTAAATTCCAGTGGTGACATTGGTATGCAATAATTATTTTCTACCTCTCTTTCTTGACAGAGCTCTCCTTGTCTTTGGAGGACATAATATTGACTAATGTTTTCAGTAATTATTCATGGAATCTGGGTCTGTATTAAGTTTTGTCACTTGTTAGACAATTGTAATTCCTTGCCCCAGGTAAATCTTTCCGAAGGAAAGAATTAAAGTGTTAAGTTTTTCTTTTTATACAATAGTTCTATAGATTTATATTCTGCAGCTTATTTTCACATTGTACAATCACATTATTGTTATCAGTGTTGAATTAATAATTTCTGTTGTTGTAATACTCAGATTCAATGGATGTAACTTAATCTGCATAATTGGAATATTTTAAACTTATCTTTTTATTTTTGTATGTGATGTTGAATGTCAATCAAAGTTAATTAAAATATTTTAATAATTTTTTTGTTACTGCTACTAGTTACATATAACTATGTGGAAAGGTTCATTTTTGAAATGCTTTTACACTTGTTTGACGATATATTTTCTTTGTTGTACAGAAAAACTAGCTCAGACTGTAAGTGAAACTAGTGGAATGTATTTTGTACCTGCATTTTCTGGACTCTATGCACCTTACTGGCAGTCCGATGCTAGAGGGTAAGTGTCTTCAGTTTATCTAGTGGAATGTATTTTGTACCTGCATTTTCTGGACTCCATGCACCTTACTGGCAGTCCGATGCTAGAGGGTAAGTGTCTTCAGTTTATCACAACAAGATGTATTTGTTGCTGATCATCATAAAACACAGCTTAGTAGGACAGTGATCTGTTCTGAATGGAGATCAGTAACAGTCTAAAATTTGAAATCAAACCCAACTGTATGGTGTTACTGAGAGTGCTTATTTCATTCTAACACAATTTTGTTTCCTCATCAGTTTCCCACAAGAGTTTCGTGTTGAAAGAAAACCTCAAAAACTGCAAATTATAGAAACATTTTTCAATTTAAAATAATGGAAAATTTAAATGAGGTTGTAATTACCGAAACTTTCAAAAGAGTCGCAGTTTATGTTATACAGATTATAGATGTGATAGTATTGTCTTCTTCAGTTGACTTTTATAACTTTTAATAAAGAATTGTTAGTCAAAATCTACATGCTTGGTTTAAATGTATCAATAAAAAAATTTGATTACATTGTTAGAGCTACTGGATTTTTTTTTCATTTTGGTTCATACTCTTTGATCACAAAGTTAAAATTGACATTGTATTTTGGTAGGAAACTAAGAAGATGATAATAAGTGTTAGATACCTATTAGAGACAATCCTTGACACACACTATAGTTTAGACTATATATGGAACACCTAAAGCTTCTAATACATGAATATTCTATGTCTGCATTGCTGGGTGTGTCTTTGTTTTTTCTTGGACTGAAAGTGAGTTTTACTAGTTGCATTTAATTTAATTGTTTTTTTTTCATTTTTGACAAATGTTTTGTGTAAGTTCTTCAATTTTCAGACATTTACAAGATACAGTAATACAATAAATTTATCAAAATTATTTTTATTTTAAACTTTTAAAACTTGTGTAGTCAAGGCCATGAAGAAACAGTTACAACTTGACATTATCATTAGACATGCAATTATTTCAGTATGTGAAAATCAAAATAGGATATGTTTGACAGACAGAAATATATATAAAAGAAGTTTCTGTGGTTAGAAGAAAATGCTACTTTTTTACCATATAGCAGTTACACAGATTTTTAAATTGACATATTAGTTATACAAAAGTTAACTTTTTTTTTCCCTTGTGATTTTAGTATTATGATAGGCCTCACTCACTTCACAACCAAAGCTCACATTGCCAGAGCAACTTTAGAAGCTGTTTGCTTCCAGACAAAAGAGGTGAGAATGTTTATCATCTGTTTAAAAATTCCTTCAATATTCTAAAAAGAATTTTGGGACTTTTCAATTTTATTTATAGTTTCTGTTACATTTGTATTATTGTTTGTTTAACAATTTATGATTCAGAAGACATGTATATTTATTACAAGACTCAATGAACTTAATCTTCCCTATGAATAAATTACACAAAGAATCTACTTTTAATACTTGAGATTTGGAAGGTAAGTGCAGAGATTTCCAAGCATGATCAGGACTACATTAATATCATAATGAGTATATTATCTACCAAAAAATAAAGTAATTTAACTAACATAGTTACCTAAAAATGTGTGTACCATATACTTTGAAGGTAAACCATATATCCATGCTGTTGCTTGATTGGGAATGTTAATATTATGTTTGGAATTAAATTTTGAGCAAATATAATCAGTTTTTAATTAAAGTTTATGAATACTGTAATTTTTTATTAAAACTAAAAATTTTGTAATAAATTTATTTTGATGCAGGCTATTGCAAAATGTTGTGGGTAATGGAAAAATTTTGTAGGTTTTTCTGTCATGCGAAGAATAGCTTATAAATATATAATTTAAGTACATAAACAATTTAAAAAAAATAATTAATTGAAAAATTTACAATATCAGTTCCCAATTAATAGCTACAATTATTATTATTCACCTTTTACTTTTAATCTATCAGTTACTGTTTGAATTTATAATACACACCTTACTTAAGTTTCCTGAATTTGAAAGGAAAAAATAATATGATTTCTGGAAAAACCTGTTTCTCTTATGAATAAGAATGTATTGTGGTTTCCCGATTCTATACAAATTTTTAATCACTGGTTTTATCATTCAAGTTGCAGTTTGTTCATTAGTATATTATTTATTTTTATGTCAATTGTTTTAATATTTAAAAAATGTTTGGCCAATCAGGACATGCTTCATTATTATATTACTTAATTGTAGCCCAATCAGCTTACTATGTTAATTTCTTTTGGGAGTCAGTGCAAATACCACTGTAATGGTTCTTTTTTTACCAATTTCCACAATATTTGAATTGATAATCTATGAAGAAGTAAGAACCTAAACTCTTTGTTTCTAAGCATAGGAAAAGAAAAGCATAAAAACAAATCATGTTACAGATAAAAATCACCATTTTATAAGAAATATGATGAGTTAGCCCAATATAGATAAATGTGATATCTTTCCTGAACAAAATTATTTTGACAATTTCTTATAACTTTAGAAGAACTGAAAAATAGAAGAACAAATGTAAAAGTATTAACTTAACTTAGCTCATATTTATTAGGGAATTCTAGACAGCTTATGTAATAGTACATTACAATATACAGCCTAACTTTGAAAAATAATCAAATATTTCTGATATACAAATGAAAAATTAAAATGTGTATCAATGAACTTAGACTTGTATGTTAAACTGGACCTTACCTGGTACTATTTGATATATTTCAATTTTATTCTTGGTCATAAAACTTGTGCTTTCTCATCCTACAACTTATTTTTATAATTTTAAAATGCAACTACAAGTTTTTTTGCAATGATTTAATTATTTTTTTTTCTGTATCTTTTGTGGCTAAGGCACAAATTGTTGTGTGGCTATTAGGTAAAATCTTTCTCCTGGATAGGTATTCTAGCCCAGTGATATCCATATTAAAACCAAAGATAGTGAAACTTGACAAACAGTTTTACATATGGACAGTTTGATGTTGAATTGGGTATGCAGAAATGACGTGTTGATGTGAATCTTTGTCAAGTACTTAGATTCATGTTAGTATGTTGAAACAAGGTTACCATTTATCTGTTTCAACACCAGGATGTCCATATATAACAAATGTTTGACAATGAGTTATTTCCAACTCTGTCTTTTAAATAACAGGTATTGAAAAGTTTTCTAAAAATATAATCGTAAATTTATGTAGAAGATTATGAAAATAAAACAAAGATAAATAATGTTAAGATGTTAAGACAGATTGTGGAAAATATGATTATTATTAAAAATCCATTGATGAGATAATTTAAAGCTACAAAAGAAGAGGAAAAATACACTGAATATACTAAGGTAGATTCATATAAGCATATACACAAGATACTTTCAAAAACCAGCCAGTTTCTTTTTTTTATAATTATTTTTTGGCAAAAGTTTCCAAATGTATTTTTCATCTCACATATTTCGTTGTTTTCTTCTCTTAATATGATATCAAAAATTTATAATCTAGGTATTTTTTGTAGCTAAATTTTCATCATTTTGCTTAGAAGACAATGTTTATAGACTTATGACTTATTGTAAATTTACTTTGAATAGTTTTCAATGAAAAAATATTACTGATATATATATAATACAGTTTATCAGGTAGAAAACATTGTAAAAGTAATAGACTTGTTGAAAGTAACCAAATTCTTCAATTAATTGAACATAATATGGATGTAATTGTGATGTATAGAAGCAGTTAACCTATGTTAACCAATAGATATTTGATAAGGATAAGTTTTAGTTAAAACATCCTCTTAGAGCTTTTAATTGATGATGCTACAAATAGTTTCATTTTTATCAAAAACCCTGTAATGTATGTTTTAAGCTGGATATAATGTTTAAGCCTGCTCATAAAGGCATGAATCTTGGGAAAAAATTTTACATAAATATATTTTTAAAGAAGGAAAAGTGTAATTTTATTAATTTTTTATCTTCCAGAAAAGTTGTTTGTATGTGTATTACAAATTCATTATGACTTTAGATTGCTGTTGTTGATACAGATGCAATTCTCAAATGTGGTCATTTTTTAATCAGTTTCAGCTTACATTTATTATTATCACATATAATTTAATTGTTAATGATGTAGTTTGTAAAATCACTCCTGATAAGTTGTCAGTGATTGAATTTAATATTGAATCTAAGTTGTTTATTTTAAATTTAATTTTTTTGTCTACTTCTCTCATCAACTGTAAATTGTGTAATTCATGAAGATCATGTTATACTATGCATAAGAATTACTTTACTGAAGTTCAACAATTTGCATGGCGTACTTTATATATCCTTCATAATTGAATTCTTTTTTTTATTTATACATCAATTGTTATCAAATTTTCTTTATACCTTGGCCAGTCTTTGAGGAAAATCTCCATCACTTCCTCTAAGGACTGTACTTTTTTTTTGTTTGCCACATTGCTGAGCAAACTTTGAAGCAAATGTTAATGGCATTGCAAGTGCTAAAGTATGTTTGAAAGTCCATTCACCCATTAACAAGTTTAAATTCATATTTGGGCAATAGAAATTTCATTTAACAGGCTAAGTGGGTTAGTAACCTTCTTGTCGTAGAGATTTTATGATGCAAAGAAAAAAACATTAATATTTTTTTATCTATTGCAAAATAAACAAATTGTAAAAAACAAGTAGGGTTTACAGCTTTAATTTGATTATTATCTTTCTTAATGCAGATATAATCTTTGTTTGAACTTTCATAAAGATAAAAAGTTACCATGTGCATGGGTTTTTTCACTATAGTTTGAACCAAATTCCATCCTCTTGTCTTTTCAATGGTGCAAAGAAGTTTTAACCAATTGACAGCCTTAATGTGGTAGTATTAAGTGTGAGTGTTTTTCAAGTTCTTTGATTACTTATTTGCAAACGGCCAATTTATAACTTGGGAATGAATGTGCCTCAGAAAAACTTATAGAGGTACTTAAGTCAGCTATTGTGAACTTTTATCATAATATCATTACAATGAAAAATAACTCTGATATGAAATATATGAAAACTGGCATAATTTCTAACTAAAAGACAGCGTAACTGTTATTTGAACAAATCTTAAGTACAACTGATAAACTATAGAAATTGTGTTGATAATGAAGTTGTTAATAAAAAATAAGGAAAAACTGAATTTTAAAACAGCTATATCTGGTTGCATACAATTAAGAGTTGTAGTAAGTAAGAAAAATAAAGATGGACGTTTTCCCACTTCTTTATGGTCAAAATGTGAATTTCTGGATTTTATGCCTTATTGTTTGAGCCCTAAAAATATTAATGCATTACTATGGATAGAAAACAATGAAAATATTGTAAGATGGGAGTCCTTACCACACCTGGTTTCCAGTCACTGGGGTGGTGGACAGAGGTTATTCCTCCAGTGTGTTAAAGTGAATTTCCTCCACTCTTGGAGAAGAGGGTGAAGTTGGGGCTCTCCTACCCTGGATGTTTTTTTTTACCAGATGTTGGTAGGAAAGGCACCAGCCTGTGCAGGAGCCTACTCGTAATACTGGTTTAGATTGGATGCTCGGCTATCCGGTTGGGTTGAGCATGGCCCTTCTTTTTGATACATATTGGTTCAGTACGTTGTTCATGGAAGAGGGTTCATTGTCTCCTCGTAATTCCAAATGCAGAGTGGTCCCATCCTGGTTCCTTGGTTGAGCACAGTTCGTTCCACGTCCTTCTCATAATTACGGGGACAAGAGAAGTTTACCTTGCCCACACAGTTGGAGAGTGAGGATGAGTGTTCATAATTCCAGACTCGATGAGTTCTGTTTTCTGGAGTTGAGTATGGCACACAGGATCCTGTCATTCTAAATTTGGGGTGTTGCCCTTCAGACTTCTTCAGGTTGAGTAGAGAATTTGTACACTTAGGTGTTTCTTATCTTCTCATCGTGATTCTGGTGGCTTGGAATGTATCACTCTATAGCTACAGGTTAGGATCCACTATTACATATCCTTAATTTGTCTATGGAAAAATTTATATTATTCTCATGAGACAGCATCATTTGTCAGAAGTAAGTCCTGAAAGATAGGACAACAGTTTTGAAACCTTCTTCAAGGTCAAAAAGGAACAGGCTGCAGTGGTTCATAAATTGTCAAAAAAAGATTCTCTAAGAGTTGTTGTGAAGTGATTAGTTGCTGGTACTGGGAGGTCATTGTTTGAGTGGCTGTTGGATAAATCCAATGTGTTGCCAGTGGTAGCCATAAACTGGTGATTTAAGCCTATTTTTCTGTTTGATAAAATTTTTAAGTGTTTGTGTAGAAATCCTTATTGTTTTAAGAACTTTTCTGTGTAAATGAGGCTATAATTGTCTCAGTTTGTTGTATGCCACCCATGTTTACTGGAGATCTAAGTTAAGCAGTTGATGGTGTTTCACTTTCATCCATTCACAAATTATACTGGATTTAAACTGATAATTGATAAGTGGTTTCTAATAAACTTGTATGTATTTATTAAGGTACAGACTGGTGTTTTGAGTAACAGTTTAAAATTTATTTAAACACCACAACATTCATTAATTTAAGTGTGTTCTGCTTAGATAATTGATGCCATGGATATGGACTGTGGTGTTCCCTTAAAGCAGCTACAGGTGGATGGAGGAATGACCGAGAACAATCTTCTTATGCAGATTCAGGCAGATTTGTTAGGTATTCCTGTTGGTAAGTTTTTGTGATGGTGTAGAAATTGTAAGATTTACAATTATTTGTATGTCCGTTAAACTGTTTGATAAGTAATAGAGGATACGCTAAATTGTGTTTCTGTCAATGTTGGTAAAAAAATATCTTTCTATGAAAGGAGGTTAATGCTCAATTAACCAGACTTAATTAATTGCACCTTAAATCATTCTTTGGAAGTTATGCACAAATATCAGTGGATGAGAGTTGAATAGATAATTTGTTAGTATATTGTATGTGTTTATTTTATAATACTGTTTTAATATGCATTATGTTAGAAATCATACACAACAGCTGATTTCTTTCACGAAGGAAGAAAGATCTTTTCCAAGGTGGCCACCTGTAAAATTAGAAAAAGTTTGAAAATTTGAAAAGGAAAAGCATAAAATTATCCATAAAGTTGGAAACGGCAGGAAAAATGTCCTCCTCTTTTTTTATCTGAGTTTATGTATGTGCATGCAAATCATGATGCTTAGCTATGCCAGTTTTTTTGTGTTGCTCAGCCACTCTTTCATTTTATTCTGGTGATAATTATCTTATTCATTGTATTTAAAGATAGGCTTGCTCAAATATTCTTTTATGAATAAAAATTCAACACAGTATTGTATCCAATCAAGTTATTTTGTCTGTGTTTGAAGATTGTTTCTATAGCACCATAGCTTGGATCATGTTCTGAAGTTTGTATTACCCTTTATGGTCAGATTAGAAGCTTAAGTGGTGTTATGTAAGTAAAATTAAGCAAAAGTTTAAATATTAGAGTGTTTTTGTGCACATGTGATGTCTGAAAAATTTGATATTTTCCTGGAAAGAATCTGACGACCCTGACTTCAAATCCCTGAGAAAAGCAGGTGTCACTAAATAAGTAAGGATTACCCTCAGAGAGCACATAATTACCATTTACACTCAGTGTTACTCAGCACTGTGTGTGAACCTCTACATTGTTATATGAAATAGCTTTCAGCATAACTTTGATATTTTCAGTTCGATCTTGCATGCCAGAAACCACAGCATTAGGGGCAGCCATGGCAGCAGGAGTAGCAGATGGTGTTAACGTCTGGAGTTTGGAACCGGAGGATTTGTCTGCCATTGCCACTGACATTTTCTACCCAACTATAGTTGAAGAAGGTAAAAATATAGTGAAAGTAGTTGTAGAGTTGAATTTTATATTTGGTGAAAGCCAACTTAATATAAATAAAATTATGAACAAAATGTGTAGCCTGTACTTATGCTAATGTTGTTGTGATCAAATGTCAATCGTTGTCATGGTTAATTGTCTATACTATCATCTAAGTATGATTATTACTTAGTTACTAATAACAAGTCTCAGGTTCAAATTTTGGCTGCTCTTACCACCACAATGGTCTTTCCTGAAGAAGGCAATAGATTAAGAGAGGAAATAAGGATATACATTAATTTTAATTATTATGTAGTAATAAAATAAATTAATTAATAACTATTTAATATTTAGAGTTAGGTGATTTTCTAGGATACCAACCATAACAATGATAATGTGTAGCCTAATTGTGAACATAATACATAGCCCGATTATAATTATGAACATAACAACTAAATTATTATTTTTTACAATTTTCAGTTACATAAACAATATATAAATATTTCATTAAATTTATTTAAACAAACTGAAGGGGAAGTTTGATACCGGTTATTATTATTATAGCAATACTGAGGCAAAATGAAATACTTGTGCTACTGAAAAAATAGAAATAGTGACGAAACACTAGATTAAGTGTATCATCGAACACAAAAAAGTATGAATACTGAAGATGTTGGAGATTAAATACTCATTTATAGTACATGATATAATATATGGGTATTGAAGTGGTAGCATAGTTGTCAAGACTTAAAAGAAATTTTAGTTGAAAAATAGTGACAACTTATTATAATGAAAATATTGTAGCAGCTCTGAGAATACATTATGTACACACATACACGGACAACTTTAAAAGATGTAACTTAAACAGACTAACATGACTACACAATAGTGTTATTAATACCAACATTTTGTTTTCCACAGAAGTGTAAAAGTTTTACATATAGACTATAGATTTATGAAGAGCAGATACTTGTTTCAAGAAGGATTGACAGTATAGTACACTAGTAAATGATAAATCACATGGCTAGATAAAAAACAAAGTCTGTTAACATAGAATCCCATATAAAGATTCACATAGAACCAGATTAAATAATGATAATATAGATGCTCATAGTATCTAA